TCATAATATAAAGGGGAAACTGCAATTCCTTTACATTTACTTAAATATGTTCTATGAGAAAGATGTGATCTCTTTTGATGAATGACCAGTGTATAGCTGAAAACAGTGTGTATTCTGATTTTGTGTGGTGGAATGCTATGTAAACATCTGTTAGTTCACTTGTTCAAGAGTTTGAGTTCCAGTATGTCGTTGTTTATTTTCTGTCTAGTTGATCTCTATATTTGTGACAGTGGGGTATAGAGGTCCTGCACTACAATTGTAGTAGTGATTATTTGATTTTAATGTCAGTTATTATTTATGTGATATAGTTGGTCACACTAGTTTTTGTGCCTATATATTTATTTTAGCCATCTCTTCTTCCTGGATTTTTCCCTTTATGAGTTTGTAGTGGTCTTCTTTTTTCCTCTTAATCAATGTTGGTTTGGAATCCATTTGATCTACATTACGATAGATACTCTTATTGTTTTTCCTGTTCCTATTGCATGGAGTATTTTTTCCACCCTGTAACTTTAAATCTATAAGTTTCTTTTTGAATTGTCTCTCTTATATGCAGCATATTGTTATATCTTGTTTCTTGACACATTCTAATGGTCTACTATGTTTTTAAATTCATTGTTTAATTTAAACAAATAATACAATTACATTTATCATTGGGATCTTGTACCTTTACATGATATCTATTGGCTTGTGGTTTTCGCCATACCCCTGCCCTCCCCTATTTACAAAAAATTTGCTTCCGTTTTTTCTTTTTTTCACATTTTTTCTTTTCCCTTATTTCCTTCCCTCCATTTCCCCTTCCCTTTTAGCCATTTTCTTCCTATTCACACAATTATACCATTTGAACCTTATTTATACTTTTAGTGTTTTACAACAGAGAAACTATTCATTATTTACACAAGTGTGTTCTATTTATTTTCATTTAATAGTACTACCTTAATGTGCATCCATTTAGCTATAAATATTTCTAGCTTTTCATTCTTTATGGCTGAGCAGTACTCCATTTTATAGAAAAAAACACATCTTCTTTATCCACTCTGCAGTTTATGGGCATTTGGGTTGTTTCCAAGATTTAGCTATTACAAACTGTGCTGCTATAAACATGGGTGAGCATATATCTCTGCTGTATGATTCTTTTAAGTCTTTTTGAAAGATACCCATCAGAGAGGTGGCTGGGTCAAACAGAACCTCAAATCCTAGTTGGTTGAGGTATCTCCATATTGATTTCCATAGTGGTTGAACCTGTCTTCATTCCTACCAACAATGGAGAACGGTTCCTTTCTGCTCACAGCCCCTATAGCATTTGTTATTGGTTGAATTCTTGATAACAGCCATTCCTTCTGGGGTAAGATGGAATCTAAGTGTTGTTTTCATGTGCATCTCTTGCATGATCAGTGATGTGGACTCTCTTTCATATATTTATTTGCTGCTTTTACTTGTTTGTCTGAGAATGCTTGTTCATTTCAAATGCCCATTTTTTAATTAGGTCTTTGTATTTGGGGGTTCTGACTTTCTTTAGTTTGTATTTTCTAGATGTAGTTTTTCATCCGAGCAGTAGCTGGTAAAATTTTTTCCCACATTGATGGTTGTCTTCTAGTTTTGTTGTTGATTTCTTTACACTGCAAAACTTTTTAATACGAGATCCCAATTGTTGATTCTTTATGCAAATTCTTGTGCTGCTGAGGAGCTGTTCATCAAGTCTTCTCCTATGCCAATGTCTTTGAGTGTTCTACCTAATTTACTTTCCAGAAAGTTTAGTGTTCCATTTTTGATATTTAGATATTTAATCCACTTGGATTTTAGTATATTGCATGGTGAAAGACAGGGATCTAGTTTTAATCTTTGCTAAGCTGTAATCCAGTTTTTCCAACACCATTTATTAAAGAGTCTGTCTTTCATCCAGTGAGTATGGGTGCCTCCTTAGTCAAGGATATGTTAGCGAATTCCATCTGGTGTTGTTTCTGCATCCTCTAATCTATTCCATTAATCCTCGGGTCTGTTTCTTTGCCAGTACCATGCAGTTTTTATCACAGTGGCTTTGTAGTAAAATTCAAAGTTGGGAACTATGATATTCCCTACCATGTGTCTGTTACCTAGAATGATTTTTGCTATTCTAGGTCTTTTCTGCTTCCAAATTCAGTTTTGGATTTTTTTCTCAAGTTCTGTAAAATATACTGTTTGGATTTCCATAGGGATTGTACTGAATTACATAGAATTTTTGGTATTATGGTCATTTTTCATTATGTTGGTTCTTCTTACCCAGGAGCAAGGATATCTTTCCATCTTCTCACATCCTCTTCTATCTCTTTTTTCAGAGTGCTGTAATTTTCATTGTAAATGTCTTTTCTCTCCTTTGTTAGATTGATTCCTAGATATTTCATTTTTTTGGCTGTGATTGTGAAAGGAATTGCTTCCCTAATTTATCTCAAAGTGATTCTGTTAATTTTATACATGAAGGCTATGGATTTTGTATTGTTACTCTACTGAATCTGTTAATTACCTCTAGCAGTCTTTTGGCAGAGTTTTTTGTTTTATTTTTTTGTTTTTTTTTTTTTTGGTTTTTCTATGTAAAGTGTAATATCACCAGCAAATAGTGACAGTTTAATTTCTTCCTTTCCTATGTTTAGTACTTTTATTTCTCTCTTTTGTCTAATTGCTGTGGAAATGTTTCTAGAACTATGTTAAAGAGGAGTGGTGATAGCGGACATCGTTGTCTTGATTATGATTTTAGTTTGAAGGTATTTTCACCATTTAGAGTGATATTAGCTGTTGTTTTTTCATAAATAGCCTTTACAATGTTGAGATAAATACACTCTATAAGTGTGGCTAAAGATTTACCAATTTTATTTATTCTTTTGAAAAATCATTCTTTGATTCATTAATTTTTTGTATCATTCTCAATCTCCACTGCATTATTTTTTACTCTGATCTTTATAATTTCTACCCTTTTCATAGCTTTCACTTTTTCTTCCTCTTCTTTTCCTAGGAGCTTAAGGTTAAGCATCAGGTTGTTCATTTGAGCTCACTCTGTTTTCCTAGTATGGACAATTAGTGCTATGGATTTCCTTCACAGAACTTCTTTCATTGTATCCCATACGTTCCTGTACATTGCATTGGGATTATCATTTAATTGTAGAAATTCTAATTTCCTTAATTTCCTCTGTGACCCAATTGTTTTTCAGGATGGTGTTATTTAATTTCCATGTGTTTGTGAAGTTGTTGCAGTTCCAGAGGCTACTAATTTCCAGTTTAATCACACTATGATCTCAAAATATAGAGGACATTATGTCAATTCCTTTCCATTTACTTAAGAATGTTTTCTGAGTAGCATGTGGTTCATTTTGGAGAATGACCTGTTTACAGCAGAAAATAATTTATATTCTAATTTTGTGGTTTGGAACACTCTGTAGACATCTACTAAGTCCGTTTATTCTAAGTCTTGGTTCAGTTCTATTTTTTTGGTATTGTATTTTTGTATGGGTGATCTGTCTATTTTTTTTCAATGGAATATTGAGATCCCCCACTGCAATTTTATTAGTGCTTATTTCATTTTTCATATCCAATAATATTTGTTTTGTATAGTTGGGTGCATTAATATTTAATGAATATATATTCATGATTGTTATTTCTTCTTTGTATATTGGTCCCTTTACAAGGATTTATTAGACTTCTTCATCTCTCTTATTAGATTTAATTTTCAATCTACTCTGTCTGCAACTAAGATAGCTACCCCTGATTTTTTCTGGGCTCCTGTCACATGGAGAACTGTTTTCCATCCTTTCACATTCAGTCTATGGGTTTGTTTTTGAACTAGGTGTGTTTGTTGTATAAAACATATTGTTGGATTTTGCTTCTTAATCCATTCTGCCAGGCTATTTCTCTTGATTGGTGAATTGAGGCTATTGACATTGATGGCTATAACTGATATGTATTGTTTTTTCATAGTCATGTTATTTTCCTCTTCGTGGCTCTTTTTAATTTTCCCCTTCTCCCTTTAGTTTCTTGCCTTGCCTAATTGCTTTACTCTGTCAGGCCTCATGGAGTTGTGACCTTCAATGTCTTTTTCTAGAATATTGTTTAGAATTGTTTGTAGTGATCGTTTGGTAGTTATGAAGTTTCTCAAGAGTTCTTTGTAATGCAAGTATCTTATTTTCCCATCCAACTTGAAAGAGAGTTTTGCAGGGTATATCAGTCTAGTCTGGAGATTGTTTTCTTTTAGGACTTGAAATACCTCAGTCCAGGCTACCCTTGACTTGAAGGTTTGTGTTGAAGTCTGCTTTGATTCTGATAGGCTTTCCTTTGCATGTGATTTCTTTCTTTTCTGTAACTGCTTGTAGTATTTTGTTTTTCCATTGGGATTCCAGGATCTTGACTATTATGTATGACTAGGTATAGATTTTTTTTGATAATGGCTAATTGGAGCCCTATATACCTCACTGGTCTATATGTCAAATTCTTCCCCTCTCTTTCTGAAGTTTTCTGTCATTAATTGTGTGAATAGTTTTTTAAAGTCATCTGTATTTTTACCTGCTACAGCATGGATTCCTATCAGCCTTGTATTATTCTTCTTTGCATCATCTAGGAGTTGTTGGATTCATTTCTCATGATCCCTTACTGTTTTTAAGAGATCTCTCTTTTCATAGTCACTGACCATATTCCTATCTTCCATATCTGAAATTGTGTGTTCACATTCAGTCATTCTGCTGAGAATGATTTTAAGATAGTTTTTGATCTCTTGGATATCTGTTTAAATCTGTTTCAAGGATTCCATTTCTTTCCTATGTTGGTCATTCATGGTTTCCATTTTTACCTATTCAGGGTATTCGTGGCTTCTATCATCATCCTGAGCTCATCTATTTTTTTAGCAGATTCTATTCTAGAGTCTCTAATAATGTCTTTCTTTGTGCTCACCATCTCTGTAGTTATCTGGGAAATAATTTCTGTTTTGAATTTTTCTAGCACCTCATTTAACTGTTTTGTTACTTCCTGTGCTATCATTTCAGGTTGTCCAGAAGGTTGATTGTCAGGCTTTCCCACATCATTACCTCCAGAGTTTACCTTTGGTGAGGTGGAAGTCTGTGTTGGTGCCTCATTTAAATGTCTTCTCATTTCCATTTTTGTCATTGATACCAGCCTTGGTTTAATTCCTGGATTGATTCTGCAATCTTTCAGATATAACTGGTCATTAGGTTTTGAATCTCTAACGTCTTTTTCATTATGTGAGGGAGAACAATGGCTTAGATCAATCACAACACCCTAGCTCAAGTGATATAATAAGCAAACAGTAGCATCAAGCATAGTTGAGAAAATGAACATTTGTGGTAGCATTTAATCTATCACCTTTAACCATGTGAATGAAATAAAAATTAAGGACCAGGCCAAGATATGTTTATAGTGAATACACTCTTCAATATATCAACTCTACCCTTCAGGTTAGGGATGTAGAAGGAGTTGGCCAGGGAGGGACCTCTAAATAGGATAGAGCAAGGCTAGATGTGAGGTCAGAGGACACAGGAAGATCACACAAATACTAGGGAGCTTTTGAAGAGAAGAGGAGAAAACAATAAAATATACCCAAGAACAGAACAAACTAACAGGGACAAGGAGGCCAGAGAATGTAATCACTGTCTTTTAAAACTAATGGCAATTGAGAGAAGCAAAATGAGAAGAAAGGGGAAAGAAAGAAAATAAATTCAAGTTAGGAACAGGAACAGAAAGGGAGAGTAATGGAGAGAGAGAGAGAGAAAGAGAGAGAGAGAGAGAAGTAAAAGAAGATAAAAAGATAAAATTGGGAATGGGAGATAAAAAATTTTAAATGATTAAAGATAAGAAAAAAATATTATTTGAAAATAAAAAATATACAAATAGAAATAGAGGACCTCCTTTAGGGTATGCCTCAGTTGACACAATAGACAGCATGGGCTGGAGTGTGCAGGTCTTATCTAATTAGTCTCAGCCAACCAGTAGCTCTCCCCTGATGTTCAGGCTGAGTTTTGTCTGCAAGGCCCAAGTTGAGAACTCTGAAGTCCTGCTGGTTGAGCTCTGCAGGGTTCTATTGCTGATTCCAGCTGTTTTTCCAATAAAGTTAGACCAGGTTCTGATGTGAGGTGGTCCGACTTACTAGTCTATTTCTTTTTCATGGTGAATCAAGACCCTTAACATCCATTTTATAAATGATACTTATTGATTTATTATTGTAATAATTTTTGTTATATTCCCACACTTTGCATTTAATTTCTAGTCAGTAAAACAAATGTGATGAATTCATTCTCCTGGGCTTCCTGGAATTTTGATACCATTATATTTCCCTAAGGCATGCTTTACAATTTTTTGGAGTGCTGGTTTATTATTCATGCAGCTCCTCAGGTACTCTTCGTCATGAAAGTATCTTGATTCTCAATCAATTTGATAAGATAGTTTTGCAGAACATCGATTTTGGTTGGAGGCTGTTTTCCTGCAGGGCTTGAAATGTTAACGACAAGCTCTTATTGCCTTGAGGCTTTAGGTTGAGAAGTCTGCTGTGATTCTGATGGTCTTTGCTTTGTATGCGATTTGTTTCTTTTCTCTAAGTGCATGTATAATTTTATTCTTCAGTTGGGTTTCTGCAATATTAAGTATTTTATGCTTAGGTATAGTTTTTTTAATAATGACTACTTGGACTCCTATGTGTCTCACATATCTGTATTTGAAGGAATTTTTCCCTGCTTAGGTAGTTTTCTGCAATTACTCCTGTGAACAGGATTTTCATGTCATTTGCACTCTCTGCTGTTTCTTCATTGACTCAGATCTGTCTTATGTTGTTCTTCTTTGCAGTGTCTAGTAGCTGGTGGATTGATTTCCAATGATCTCTTACTACTTTTATGGAATTTTTATTATTCTGGTCACTAATTTCTATCCTGTCTTCCATGTCTGAAATTCTTTTTGCACATTGGCTCATTTTGCTCTGTAAACTTTTTAAAAAATATTTATTTATTTTTTATTTTTATTTTGTTTATTTATTTATTTATTTATTTGGTATGGGGGATTGAATTTAGGCCCTTTCATTTTTGAGGCAGGCATCAGAAGCACTGAGTCAAAATCCCCGGCTCTGTTTTGCAAACTTTTAATGGAGTTTTTTCTTTCTTTTTTTTTTTTTAAACAGGGTTAGTGAACTCGAGTCCTTGCACTTGTGAGGCAGGGCGCAGCATCTTTGAGCTAAATCCTTGGCCGTCAATGTAGTTTAGAATCTCCTGAAGATAGTTTGCATGTGTTTTATGCATTGCATTTGTTTCCTATGTTGAAATTCCATCATGTCCCTCAGTTCTGTTTTTTGTTGTTGTTGTTGTTTTTATCTGTGTTTTATGTATCTGTGTCTAACATATAATCATGACTTAAACTATGGACACAATGGATGTTGTCATCTGGGGACTTGCTTCTGACTTAAATTTTTCCATACCCTATGTTGTTTCCAATTCAGGGAGTCCAGGCGGTTGAGTTCAGGGAGTTGAGTGTCAGATTGTTCCATCTTTTTTTCTTTTGGGGTAGCCTTAGGTGATCTGGGAGTCTGGTTTTGAGACTTGTTTACATGATATCTCATTTCAATAGATGCAGCCTACTATGTCCTTCTTGAGGCAACTTTTTGCTCACCAAGAGGACTTCAATTCTCAGTAAGCCACTGGGGAGCCTTTACTCTGCTGCTCGCCACTGCAGCAACTACTAGGTTCAGAGTGCTGGCCTTCTGGATCCCTGCACTGTCCTGTTTTCTATGTGGGGTTCTGACTGGGGTTGTCTGCACTTGACATGGTATCTAGATGTGCCTCTGGCTTGTTCTTGCCCTCCTACATAGCTGTTCCCTTGGAGGGCCTTTGACTTGGAGCTGTGCACCCAATTCTCTGGTGTCTGAGTGAGCTTCTGTCTCGGTTGTCTGTGCACTTCCTCATGGTATCAGAGCTAGCTACTGTCTGTTATTTTTGTGCCTGTGCAGCTCTCTTGAAGGTGGGATTTTGGCTTTGAACTGTGTGTCCAAATGGTGGGTGTTGGGCCCAGGCCCTTGCTGCTGTGGTGCTCTGTTACACTCTGCTGATCACCAGGATCTGCAAACTTAACCCTGGTTCAAACATCAGTTTTTAAAAGTCTTCAGTTGTTTCTACTAAGTAATAAAATGTTGAAAATTAAAATAGTTTATGAAAAATAAGAAAATTATATATATATAAATTTATACTTTAATCAGAGGTTTATTCAGAGGCTTTAAGTGTTAACATTAGTTTTGCTCTTCAGGTTCCAATATATTGATTTTGGTAAGCTCAGTCACTCTTGAAGAGAAAGACCAAGTCTTTGCAGGCCTTCCTTCCTGGCTGGACTCACCCAGGCTGGACTGAGGAGGCCAGCACCAGCCATTGTGTGGAGACCACTTGGCCTTCACCTCTTGCTTTTTCTAGGGGGGTCGTCAAGTTAAGTTTTCTTGGAGATTGTATTGGAATGAGGGAAGAACACGACAGATGAACTTTCTGTCTACTCTGCATGTGCCCAGTCTAATAAGCAATGTATCATTCACCAAACCAAACAAATTCAGCTAAAATACAAAGAATATAGACATGGATTCCAGCACCTCAGTGAGAAGGATATAAATACATTTGAATCTCTAACTGCCAGAGAAATGGAGATAGGATTTATGATTGTCATTGATCTACCACAAATTCGGAATTCTATTTGTCAATAACCAAAGCAATAATCAAAGTAAACACACCAATTATGTCATGTAAAGGTACCAGATCCTGATGATGAATGTAATTGTACCATATACCTAAAAAGTGAAAATAAACTCAATGAGAAAAAATATTTTGGAGGAGAGCTTATGGTCAATAGGCTATAGCCCTGTAGGAGATAAAACAATTTCTTTTCTACATCTTTCAAGATTTTGGCTGAGGCCATTGTAACAGCAGACCAATGTATGAAAGTAAAATGCGCACATTCATTCAGGCATAACTGGTTCATGGTTAAAGTGATTTTTAAAAAAAATGAACCACCAAAGTATCTGGGAAACATGCACTTTCAATGCTACATTTGATAAAGAAATGGATAGTAATAGGAAATGAGAATGCATATCATGCTCCATAAAATGGTAATAAGCTGGGAGAAATAAGCCGGCTTGTGTCTTCATTCTCCTCTGAGTGTCTTCAGAGATAGGAAGCCCTGTTCTTGTGATATGGGGAAGGAAGCTAAAGAATGAGAGCCTTATCATCCTCTTAAGGATGAAGGAGAAAGCATATGACTCACCCAGGCATGGCCCAGGAATGAGTCTTGTGATCCTTTTTGGGGAATAAGTGTGGAAGGAATGATTGCCCAAGGATCTTTGTTTCCTCACCTATCACGGTACCACCATGTGTGAAGAAAACATATCCACAGTGAAAACACAACAGGAAATTAAATAAATATTTTTAAAATCCCCAAAAATCAACAAATCAAAAGACTCTACTCAATATCTGTTGCAGAATCAGAACCTCCAGATTTTATAACCTGTATATTTTAGCAGTGAAATCAACATTCCTCACCAAAATTGGTCAGCAGAAGTCCAAAAATCCACAAAATAGAATAAGTGACAGCATATTTATAGTCCAAAAACATGCAAATAGTTGCATCTGGACTCTGAAAAAACAGTGAAAGTATTTCCAGGACCACTCTGCTACAAAGATGATTCTGAAGTGAAATGGCACACATCTGCAATGGAAAATTCTTTGTGTGTTTCAAACTTCTTCCTCCCTCATCACCTAGGTAAGATAGTATTCCCTGCATCTGCACAGCTCAAATGCATGTACCTGAGGAATCTATTGTGAATTGTGCATCAGGTCACTAATCACATCCAGTAAAAATACTCATGAAGAGGACTTCCGGAGATGTTTCAGAGGATGACAAGATCCTCGTGCTATGCATTCAAAGTGACAAGGTGTTTTTGAGGGGGAATTAATGGTGATTTTTCTCCCATTGCAATGAATTTTTATTTTAATTATTCACCACATTTACTAAATATGTATAATGAATGTTAGATACTGTGAAGGGTATTTTATTTTTTGTTGTCCTACTGTAACTTGGTCCAGTATAATATGGAAAATACATTTTTTTGTTTTAATGTAAGCTTTCCTTGTGCAATATACAACTTTTAGGGTCCAGGTCACTTTATAAAAACTCTTATAAGATAAATTTGATATAAGGTTGGGCTTCCACAAGAAAAGATCAAAAACAAAGGAATAAAAGCCTTTAATTTATAGATAAGATCTCTGATATTTCAACTGTTAAGTGAGTGGGAATCTCCTTCATCATGTGACTCCTTAACAATATCAAGTATAGTTCAAACTCAAAAAGGGAACATAAACACACAGTTGCCAGGAGGAGAATTTTCTCAGCCTTTCTTATGATAAGATCATTCAATCCATTCCACTTGGATAAGAGAAGAGGTAAGAATTTCCAGTATGCTTTACTTCCCTAAAATTTGATTTAAGTCATCTTCCCAAACAACTAAACGACTCCTCGTGGGGTCCTCACAGTGGGTGCCTGACAGCCTGTGGTGTCCATGAGGTGTATACTCCACCTGATGTATTGCTCTGTGCATCACTCTGCAGTAGTAGAAGATGCCTGAACACATTCATACTATACTGTGTGATCATACTCTAAGTTCCTGAGAAAATTTTAATCTCCAATAAAAATGTTAACATTACTATCTTGCTTAGAATTACACATTATGTAAATTAACTTTTCCCAATATAACTGGTGATATGGTAGTAGTAAATTATGAGTAGGTTTTAGATATTCAGCTGCAATGACACTGACTTCTGTCCCCTAGTGTGCAACTGTGTCCCGTAAGCTACCTTGTGATCAGTTGTGAAGAGATAATATGTGCAGGTGAACAGATGGTTCTACACATTATGTGAGATCTGCTGCAGGATGACAGGTATAGAACTTGACCCCATTTAGAGGATACAGCTGAAAAACAGTGGTAAAGGAAAATCCTCACAGTACAGAAAACCTTGGACTTTGCACCTCTAAAACATTGCTTGGAAGGGAAAAATGTCACATGTGTCACTGTACAGATGTGTGACTATATACCAATTCATTGGCTGTAGCCAGGCTTGTCGCTAGAGGGTCAGCACTTGAAACAAACATGATTGGAACACTGGAAATAAAGACATGATGGTGAGAATCATGTAGATAAACATGCCCTTATGTATGATGAATGTGAAAATATATGTGTGCAACCTATACATGTTCATGAGAAAGTAATGTTAGAAGAATGAGACTTTTACCAGCAAGATATAGAAAATC